CCATATAAAAAATGTCAAAACCAAACTGCCCTAATCAAGCCTTTGCACACAATTCCTAAAATAAAAAAAAAATATTAAAAAACAAGATTTAAACGCTATGATGGCTGATGCAGTGCCCTGAAAAAGTATTTTGCAAAAACTTGTTTACACTTAATGACAAATGACAGTGTATTTTATTAAACCTTTTATGTGATAGACCTTTACAAGAAAAAATGTTTGTTGAATCCAAAAATATTCAGTTTTGTCTGATTTTCTTCCCATGACAAAATACACCAGAACTTATACGAATTGTTCAAAACATAATTAAACCAACCAAACCTCATGCTGAGACATGTTCAAAAAGGTAACCTATATTTCCCTTTTTTTTTTGTATTTTACATCAATATTTAACCACTGATAAACAATGCTCTATTGTGATTCACTGGTAATAACTGATGATCCACAGGCTTCTCTTTTCTTTGAAACAGAAACCCCCAAGAATATGCTTGAAAGTAATAAGGTGACTTGTTTACTGAAAGCTATGACAAAAGGCAGTACCTGCAGTCTGGCACAGTTGATGTGCCTGCAAACATATAAACTTACCGTAAACCAGACAATGACATACACTCACACATACCACAAACCCCCACTGACTCAACACAAGTGCTCAACCAAAGGACTGGCAGCATTTACCCAAGAATCTAACGCCCCTGCAAAGCAACAAACAAGCAACAGGAAATGAAGACGGCAGCTTCAGTCTGGTAATCGGCAGCTCTGTCTTGACGTTCTGCTTTATGAGGGGCTCGTCTGCACACACTGCTGCAAGGAATGAAAGAAACAGGAGCAAATGCAACAGTTGAAGATCCAAGCAAGCTTTTATTATTATTTTTTTTTAAAGTCCAGTTTACATGTTTAATTCTCAAAGTCATGTTGGTGGTGCTGTTATATGTTTAGGATGTCTTTGTAAAACTCCTCCCAGATCTCTAAAGTTTCTCTGCTTCTTCATTCTCCCCTAAACATGGGTTTTCAGTGGAGACAGTCATTAAGGTTACAACACAAACATTAGCCCTTCAATCCTAACTTCAATGCTGGGTTTTTAGACCTCGGCGTTCCTAACTATCTGCATTTGTCTCAGTAATTGCACTGTGTCCATCGATTTCAAGTCTCAGCGGTGATTTGCTAACTGCTCAGAGACTACAAGTTGCTTAGTAACCTCCATCACATCCCAGAACATGTCACTATATAGACCACAGCTTTCCTCTGTCGGTTCTTATCGTCTTCTCTTGCTATCCTTCCTTTTTCTCTTTATTAAAAAAACCTGATCAATAAATACATTGTTTCTGTTGTTCAAAAGCAGAAGTTGGAACTTGGATGGTTTTGTTTATTAGGGGACAGTCATTTTAGGCGACATTCACAGTTTGAGTACATTGACTGCAGTTGGGCTCATGCTGGTTTTGTCCCAGCAGTATACTTGAAGCATTTGCTAATCTCTCGGTACATGCATGCATGGTTACCTTCCATCTGCTCAGCCAGGTCAAATTACACCAACTCACTGGCACTGAAATGACAATCATGTTGGATGGAACAAGAGTCTGCAAGAGCCTTTTATTTCTAGAGTTTTTTTTTCTGGTCCAGGGAGTAAAGTTAGGATATGCTTAGTATTTCTGCTGCTGTCAACAAACCTAAAAGCCTTAGAATAAAGGCTAGTACATCCATCTAATAATTCACATGAGTCACATGTGAATTGTGAATAAATGATCAGGGCTTCCTATTAACGCAAAGTATTCCAGATTCCCTGGAGATTACAACTAATGTACAGACAGATGAGGACAATATCACTAAAAGTGGTACAAGTAAAAACAAGAGTCTTGATGGTGAATAAATCTTTTTTGACTGAAGCATAATATCTGCAAGCTACCATTCACTCTTTTCAGTTCCTGTTGGAAAGCTGCTTGCTACTGCAGAAAATTAGAAAAGTACCAGTGTTGTGGTGTGTTTCAAAGGTCCAACCATTTAGATAAATGATCATTATTTTCAGCAGTTTTCAATATTCCTGTTTCAGAGAATGTTTTTACCCTACAGCCTCAAAGTTCATTGGCTGGCAAGGCTGTCCAAGATTGCATTACTTTAACTACAACATGCACAGGTGTGCTTTGCTAGTAATAAAAATATGCAATATAGGAGGCAAATGTGCCTTTTGTCTTCTTGGGGAAGTTACAGTGTGCTAGATTGCATGTTCTGAACTACAGTAAAAGTGATAAAATTATTAAAATGATACTTTTACTGACTAAGTTTATTGGTATCCTTTCCCATATGCCATCATGCCATCACAAAAAACTTGTTGCATTACAAACAGCTGTAAAAAACTTTTTAAAAAATACTCGAGATAGATACTTCTACAGCAAAACATTTATTTTTTTGCGGGGGAAGTTTTATGGAAGGCAGGAAAGAAGCAGACCTCTAGCAGAAGCAATAAACATGTTTCATTGCTGCAAGAAAAAGTCTGAAACTTTCAAGAAGAACACCCCTATTGTTCACGGCAATAAAACAGAGTAATTTTCCATTGGGAAACAAAAAAAGCTGAAGCCAAAATGATAGTACGATCTGTTCCTCTACATCAGCTCAGTTGACTTCTAGGAATTGAATTCTTTCTTCACAAGCACCCAGTTGTGTTGATACTTTTGCAGTGTTGTTCCTTTCTAGCTTTTTATTATAACATCACTCTCCATTTTCTTTAATGTCAGAGTCATTACTCACCTCTGTCTGCTTCTCTGCTCTCACCCACATTCACTCACTTTCTCACTCACGCCGAGTGACTCCTGATGGGCAACAGGAGTCATTGCCCATCTTTGTCAGCCTTTCCCTGAGCTCAACTGCAGTGAATATTGTGACTGACCTTAACCTGCTGGTCACATCTTGCTTTCCTGACTCTACTGCTTTTATTTTTTTTTACACTTAATTTGTGCAGGGAGGCTTTCTCACTTTGAACTGTATGAGGAAAAAATCCAATTAAATACAAATACATGAAATTAAACAACCTTTAGAGTCTGCCATTTACTGCTTACCACGCTAAGGATTATGTATCCCTCAGCAGATTTCTCTGCAGGTCTTCTAACTGAAAATGCTGCAGTCGGCCACTTCAGTGACACATGTCACCAACAGCCTAGTTTGACCTTCTGGTGACGAGGTTACCCAACAGGACAAAATGTGTGGGAGGGTTACACAGCTTCCTGCTGTCCTGCCTCAACCCCATGCTAGAGCCCTAATACCAAAATAACCTTCTGACTGAACTGCAAGGCCATAATTATAGATGTCAAAACAAGCATGGAGACCTGTGATTGTTAGCAGAAGTTTCACATATCAGGCGGGAAGACATAAAATCACACGCAAAACAAAAGTAACACCATGTGATATATATCAGAATTACAGGTTTATTACTGTTTTAACTGTCTTTATTTCCCTGCTCCAGGTCATTCAGGCCTGACTTTGTTTTGGTGCGCCAACACGCCTTCAGCATGGCTCAAAATGAGGACTTTAGAAACTTGATCATTGGTCTTCAATATGCAGGCATCCCTTCAGTCAACACTCTGGACTCCATTTACAACCTGTGTGACAAACCCTGGGCTGTAAGTGAGCTTTGCAGAAAACATCCAATATTGTTTTAGAAGAGGTTTCAGAAATGTGAAGGTAACATTTGCTCTTAGTTTTATATGCATCCGTATTGGTCCACAATGTCCACAATGCATGAGTGTGAAGAGTTAAAAGCCAAAGTTTAGTTTGAAGCACTTTTCAACTTTTTTTTTCTCTGCTCTCCAGTTTTCCCAGCTGATCAACAACCAGAAGCGGTTGGGGTCAGATAAGTTTCCTCTCATCAATCAGACGTTCTACCCCAACTACAGAGACATGGTAAAGGCTTTTTCTGGTTTATTCCATATTGTGTGTCATGAGTTTCCACTAAAACATTTATAAATACTAATGTGGTTCAAGTTACCTCAAAATGGACAATTTCAAAGAAAGTGATTTGGTGTGCATGTCATGGCAAATTTGAGATCTTTTAAGAATGTATTTAAGCAAAATGATAATATAAACAATAAACAACTTCAAAAAATTTTAAAAAGAGGAGAAAATGTAAATAAACAAGTGCCACGATCCAGTTAGATCTGAGTGAACTAATCTGTTGACATCAAGCTTCTCGTGAAGGTTTTCTTCATTATTTCCACAACCAATTAGATGTGTTGTTTAAATGATTTTTCTGGCAGACTGTCCATTTATCAGTCCTTTCACTTTTTCACAGTTCCATGATTGCTGATCTTCACATTTTTACACCAATTTATTTAAAATTTTCAACAAAAACTGTAAACATATTGGGTTAAGTGACTGCTACTTCTACTATACTATTGCCTTAGAATTACTCAATATCAATTTAAAGACTGTGATCAATGTGGTGCATAGCAAAAAGTCTCATTGTCATACATAAGCACAGAAGCAATATAGTTCATGTGGTCATTCTTTCACAGGTTTTATGTTGATTTGAAAATTTAAAGCTGTTCAGAACACGGGTTGCATCACTGTCTGCTGGTATTGAGATATTTAAGGTCTTTAAAGAAAAGGCAAACTTCTCAGAAATATTGCTAAAGTAGCACCACAACATCAGTGATTTTAACTAGAAAAAAATATCAAACATATGAGAAATCTGGAACAGATTAATTTATGTTTCATTTCAACAATCACTGTTGAAGTGGAGTTAAAAATGTGAAGTAATACCTGTTCTTTATTATCTCAGCTTGTTTATGGAATAGTTTTTTTTTTTTAAAGTAGAAATTTTAGAACCACCACCAGGCTTGACATTTTTACTAACTTCAATGTTTCTCTTAAAAGACTCATATTAACTCCACCAAACTTAATTAACGTTTGTTGTTATATGATCCAGTCATCCTGAATTCAACTGGATTATTTAACGTCATCTGGCCTGTTGTGTTACATTTTTGTTTCTGAAGGGAATCAACAAAGACGCAGTGATACATCATTCCACTGAGACATTTTATATACATTTTTTTTTTTTTGGTACATGAAGATAGAAAACTTTATGTAGACAGAAACAGAGACTTAAATACAAACCCAACAATTATTGAAGTAAAAAAACAAACTGAAATCTGTTTTAACACTTCATTAAATCATACAATAGTATTATGCATTATTAATTTGTGCTTTGTGACACTAAAACAACTGCATGAGTTTGTAAATGAGTTTATATTTAGACTACTGTCTCAAATCTGAAATGTTGACTTTCCATTCGGTTTAAACTTTTCAGTGCTGACATGAGATAAATGTCAACATGATCCATCAAGTTGAACAGGACAGTGAAACATATTGTCAAACTTAAATGTTTCTGATCCGCAAACAAATTTTAGCAAATTTTGGCTAAATACAAAAAAGTAGTTATTTAATTGTTTCATGTTTTAAGAAAAAGAGCTATCCAACCCATATTTTTCTGGAAAAAATATCCACTCCCATGTTCAATCATATTTAACTGTCAAAGTCATAACCGGACTTGTAAAAATCAAGAGATCTCCTTCATGGAACCTGGCTGGCTACAAGAAAAAGGCTAATAATCTCCAAAGGCAACACGTCTTACGCCAGGCAAAAGAAATCCAATAAAAAGATCAGAAACAGACTTTCTGGACTTGCAGTAGCCTGGGAAGGATTAGAAAACCATTTCTTCACTTCTGGGAGCCATTAACTACAAATACTTAGAATAGAGTTAAATTTCCCCAGGAGTGGCTGGTTTGCTAAAATTAAAACCAGGAGCACAATGAGAACTCATCTTGGAGGTAACAGAAGAACAGGCTCAGTTGAGATCATCAGTCTTGGTTGAACAATAATGAAGGAGCAAAAAAAGACATCCAAAAATAGAACTGATTAAAAAGAAAATCACAAAGGGTCATCTAAAAATTACCAAGACCTTTAAGAAAATATTCTGTAGAATAACAGGGTAGATGTAGAAATATTTGGCTGACGTCTGTCTCTAATAAATGAAATGATCATTTAAAAATTGCATTGCATTTGGGTCTTTTTAGTCTAATGTTAAAATTTGTTCTGAAATTGGTGTGACAGAAGAGCAGAACAGATAACATCAGCTAGGGTGAAATTATTTGTTCACAGCACCGTGATAGTGCTACAAAGCCAAATCATAATGCATTTATAATCTGTGATTTATATGAAGCAGTCCTGCATCAAAACAGGGGTCAAGTCAGACCCCTGTTAAGTCTTTATATTGAATGATTCAGCAGATTTCTAAAACAAACAGGTGAACAACCCACCTTTAGTTTCAAGGAGTTAAAAAACCAAACCTTATCCTGTTATCTCATTTCCTCTCAAGAGGAAAGGCTTAGCTTCTACAGGTGGCAGTGCTGTTGCCGAAGCGCTGGATTAAGTTTTTGGCACAAAAAAACAAACAAAAACAAAAAAAAACGACAAAAAAACAAAACAAGACACGGCTCCACAAAGGAAACTAGCAGGATGAGAAGCACTACTCTAAAAGAAAACATATGGTTAGTTATGAAAATGTTAATTCAACAAAATTACTATACTTATAGTTTCAAAATTTTGAGATAAAATGTCATATGATTTCTGTAATCACAACAACAAATAACACAAGTAATCGGTTAACTTGGGATGATTTTCTTTGCATAAACTGCAGAATGAGAAGGTTTTAGGCACTTTAGGTTCTTATTTATGATGTATAACTCCACATTTTCAGCATTAAATCCATTATACAGAACCATCTCAAACTAAGTAAACAAAAATTGAAAAAAAAAACAATTCTTAAAAAAAATGGCTTTACCCCAAAGATTGAGAAAACTCCTGCAATTTTTGTTTTTCTTTCTTCACATCACTTTTAATTATACCAACAAACTAAAACTATTTTGCAATTGCCTATTATGCATCCGTGTTGCAGCTTAAGTGCCTAAAACCTTTACAAAGCACAGTGTATTCAGTGTATTTTCATTTGAGTCAGCATTTCAGATAGAAATTCAACATCAGGATGCTGCAGACAAGATGCACGTGATTAGACTCTGCAAGGTTGATACAAGAAAGGATTCTATTATTTTAGTGTTCTCAAACATTTCTTTAATATTCCTGTAAATACAGAACTTAAATTGCTATTTCACCTACTGTACATGACACAAATAATCACAGGGCTTTAAAGGAGTGCATTTACAATGAGGCAAAAACCTTCACTCAAAAGTGAAATATTAGCTGTGGATATTCTGCTGCTGTTCTCACTCTGTAACAACACGTGAAGTGAAATGTATGAAAATGCGTCAGAGAAATGCTCAAAGACCCTGAACTTTAAATATTTATTTTTCTGTTGCTGGATCAACTGCCTGAACTTTGCGACCGGTAGCTTAATGGCAGATTTTTCTCCAGCCGGTTTGAAAAATCAGCAAATATTCCACTTTTTTTTCTAGTTGCTTCTTTGCAAGCCAAATGCGTGCTAAATATGCCAAAAGCAGGGTTGGATTTTCCTTAAGGGATTTTTGAAGTCGGTGTTACAGATCATGGGTCGGTCATGTCCAAGAAGTCCTTCTCGGGCGGAGGCCCACCCCGGTACCAGCCACAACTTGTGTCCGATCGTCGGATGCAGGCATACTGCCGAGCCTGCTCCCCATTCAGACTGTTATCCAGCAGCCAGTCTGTCCACAGGCACTCGTTCAATCCTGTAGATGCACAAGGCACCGTGTAGCACGTGTTGATCTGACGAGAGAGAAAAATTATTCAGATGTTATTCATAGAACTTGTGCTGATCAATTTTGTCTCCCTTGAGTTTTGTAGCTGGGAGAATATTTAAGACAAATTTGCGAACGCATATATTTCTATATGCTGTTTGTTCATGAAATTTCTCTTGCAAACTTCTGAATCCTTCAACAAACAGTTGCATGTACACTGAGATTAAATTACACACAGTTGGACTCCATTTAAATGATTTAGGTTGCACTGGATTTTAGCCAGAGATATAAAATTACAGAGGTAATTTGTTTGCAAAATATTCTGAAAACCACATATTACAATTATACTCTACTTTGTGCTTGTCTATTACATAAAATGCAAATACAAAAAAAAAAAAAAAAAAAAAACTGAAGCTTGTGTTTCTAACAAAACTTTAAAATTATAGGTGGAGTAAACTCACTCTGCATTCACAGCCCATCTGGTATCTGTAGTTAAGGTTCTTTTTTTGTGACAGCGATAAGTTGTCCCACGACTCCACGAGGTCACACTGGCCAATAGAAATCCGTCCATCGCTCCACATGCTTCCTGTTTAGACACATCCCGTAATCAGCAATTAGTTCGACAGTCTGTTGAAAGTCATAAAAGTGTTACAGCAGTAAACAAGAACTTTAATTACAGCCTTTAGTCAAACCTTTTAGACATTATTTTTGAGTAATTAGGCCGCTGCGAGTTTGTTAGGAATGCAATCAGAAAAGTTTTGTTGCTAAAAACAGGCACCAGTTAGTCATCAAGTAATCAGTATGGAGGCCAATTTTCTCTTGACTGTGTCTGGTTGGTGAAATACTGGATAAAATCATAAACAAGACGTGATACAGAGGCACAATTTCTGAGTTACTTTTCAAAATGCAGGTAAGACAGGAGAAGATGTCAGGGGAGAGATGTTTTGATCATCTTCAGCTATGAAAGGGTCAGTAGAAAACAGCTACTCACTCAAACCTTTCTGTATTTAAAGTCAGAATAGTAAAAATCACATTTTGGAGGCACAAAGTATTCATGGCAACAATTGTTTTGAAACTTTTTCTAAACGTTTCTCCTTAGACGCTAGTTCTTGCGGAGAGTCTTTTAAATACTAAAAAAAAAAAAAGACGTTTTTACAAATCAATATCTATGTGGAAGAAAGAAAGAAAATTGGAATGGCCGATCAGACATAAAAGAAAATCGATAATGGCAGGATCGATAATGTTGTGCTACTTTTGCTCTACTTCCTGTTTCCTCTGGAAACTAACAACATCTGTGTCGAATTGTTTCACTGAAGGTGTTACAATACAGTACAGGCTGCAGACTGTACCTGAGAGCAGATAGCCTGCTTTGTTATTGGAGTCCAGTTTGACTCCACAGAGTGAAGAGAAGACAGGAGTGTACACATACTGGATGTCCTTGGCTCGGTCAAAACCTTTGAACATCTGGACACACAGAGGAGAAGAGAAAGTTTTCTGATACTTAGATTTGTTATTTATCACGTGAGAAAGTGTTGCAAGATGAAAGGATTAAACATAGTAAAACACTGAAGTAAATTATTTTCCTATTTAATTAATATCCACGTTAGAAAGTAGAATCAATACATTTAGTTTTCTGACTGATCCATAAAAAGAATTTGTTATAACCAAGGTGCATTATAAAGCCTATGCCAAAAACTTATACTTTTGTTAGTGTTTGGACATTTTTCATGTTCGATGAATTTTAGTTTTGATAACTTTGGCTGTTTTGATGCATTGCAAAATGTGTTTATTTACATTTTTATCTGATTTTGTAAAATTGTATAAATTCATACAGTCTGAAGTTTTGTTACATGATGATGTCTAAAGATGATAGAACCTTCAGGTCCAAAAATGTGGAAAACTACTTTATAGGACTCTTTGAAATAACTTTTTTGTGCAGCAAAAACTGGAGACGAAGAGTTGAGATAAAAATATGCAAAGTGTTAAATCCAATTGCTTATTAATTTTGAGGATAAAGTTCAGCGATTCTCATCACTGGAGGCTGAAAAATGTCTGCCCTTGAGAGAAAGTGTGAAATATTTATGCAATCACAAGGACTTTCCAACCCGGCTGAAAAGAGGACACAAGAACGCAGGATGTTAAATAAAGCGATGCTGCACTATCAGACATTTATGAAGTCTAAACTACTTTTGTTTGTGGCATCACTCGTATTTGATGACTTTTACAGACAAACGATACATAAATCCTGCTAAACGTAAAACAGTTGTGTTCACAGAGTGATGCCACCATCAGCGGCTGATGCTGCCGTCTCAGAACTCACCTTGATCATTTTGATTTCGTACTGGATCATCTTCATGTAAGGTGAGGAGCTGTTGCTAGGCGACACAATCTTCTCTCCAGAGACCTTTGCCCTTATCACTGTCGGGAAAAGAGAGAGAGAGAGAAAAAACGCAAACAGGAAGAAGGGTTCAGATTGATTGAACTAGAAAATGAATGTGAACATCATAATAGGTGTGCTCTACAGGATATCTTGGATGATTCCTTTATTTATTTGTATGGGTTGATTGGTGGGTACATAGGCAGATCTGTGCCCCTCTCCTACCTCTTTTGCTCCCATTTTGTTTGTCACTCCTCTTCCTCCCCACACTGACAGTGTCGCAGGCTCGCAGTAGTGATACAGGATGTGTCACTCTTCTCCTCTGGGAGGAAATTCAAAACCCTCATGGAATAACAAGTAGCTCTCTGCTCGCTGTATCCTCGCTAACTTCAGACACACTAATACAGTATGTACACATTATGCATATTAGATTTAATATTCAATCTGCAAACTGCAGATTGAAACCTTAATATTTGTGTCTTCGTTGCCACAAATTTGGTTTTCTCATCCGACTCTTTGCGTTTGAAACATAATCTGATTCAAACGAACAGCACCTGAGTCTGGAGTGAACTCCTCCCAGCACCAATAATGATCCAATCACAGATTAATGACAACACCAAGACTCAACAGTGCAATAGCTTTATTTTTTTTTTCTGGCTAAGGAGATATTTCAAATCCAAGCCAGAGACGTTACTGTTAGCATGCTGCTCTGTATCTGCAGCTGTAACACAAACCTTATCTTGGCACAATAGAATGATATGCTTCCTGACTTGTTCTGTTTAAAATAAATGTAGAAAGTCAGACTTTCTGCACGTTTGTGATCTTTTCCTGGTCTCATATTTACCTGAATAAGTTTTTGGCCTAGGCTTTAGTTTAAAATGCTATGATGTGGTGTTCAACGGGCTTCATTTATTTACCCAATTTTCAAATATCAAGAACCAGATACAAAGTAAAGTTAGACAAGGACAGATCATTTTAAAATAAAAACTTTTGGTGCTAAAAAGCTGAACATTTATTCTGAGTAACAACACTACATTTTCTGTTGTTAAATATCTTTACATGAGTTTGCAATTCCCAGAAGAAGATACAAATCTCACATTGTAAAATAAAAGCCTTTAGTCTCAGAGATGACAGTCTAGAGAAGAGCCAGAAGTGGGTCAAGTTAAACCATTAAAGCATTAGAGAGCAGGAGAGGCAGAGTGAACCTCACACACACGGCTTAGTAAACCACCCACTTGGTTTTCCTTTTGGGTCATCACATAACTACCCCACGGTTTTTTGTGCTGGAAAGAGGAGGAGGAGCTCAGGCTGTTCTGTGAAATTAGCTCAGGCCAAGCTCAGTCTTTTTGTTTGTTTGCCGAACTCCCCGGCGGATAGAAAGGCGGACAAACGCCTCGGGGTTTAATCTGAGCGTACAGCATTGCCCAGTCAGATACAGCTGCTTCAGACATGTTGCCTTTGCAGAAAATGTCAGATTTAGTTTTTTTCTTGAACTTTGATGTACTTCTTTCATTTATTTAGAGCTAAATCTTAAAATCATCAAGTACACACAATTTGTGGTAACACATTTAGCGGGGTTTTTAACATTGATGTTAAAAATTACATTTTTGAACCATTGATTCTGCTTTTCCGTTTTTGGCAAGTTTAATTTTATTTTGTCTAATTTTGTAAAGAGGTCAAACTTTTTTTAAACATTCATATATTTTTAATGTATCATTAAAAGTTTAGTTTAATATTCAACAAAAATCCATTGTTATTGAAAATTTAAAAAAGTATCCCTGAAGAATGTAAGTTTATATTATAGCATTCTTTTATTATTATTATTATTATTTAAAAATCATTTATATAATAATAAAAAAACAGATACTGCTCAGATTTGCGCCGTGTTAAATGTAAAAATGCAGGTAACAACAGTTTTTACTTTTTTCACTTTAAATATATAGTTTTGTGAGTAAAGTGAATGTGGAAAGTGCAATATTTTACCATAAGTGATGCCGTCATTTCTCCTTTTTGAGCTGAGAATAATCAGAAACAATTGCTTATTGCATGCTGGTCCCAATATGTAATTTTAACAGTCACGGTGGCAGCAGGTAACGCTGCCTGTGTTGTTGTAATTAATCTTTTAGCTAATGTAATAGGTTATATATATATGATAAAAAATGCTTGGTGAAATCTCATATTTAAATACAAACATTTTACTATATATATTTAAGCAACAAGAGAGAAATGTATTGACCTCTATTTGTTACTTCCACAATTCAGAAATTTACATTTACTGCCTTCTATTTACTTTTATGACTTGGGGAAAGCGTTTTATGGATATTTATTTACATCCAAGCTCTAGGCTTTTTCATGAATATTGATGTTGTTTCTTCGTGAAGTCGTCTATTTTATTATCCTGTTGTAAAACATCCACACAGCATTTCTGGATTCCAAATCCATCGTTTCCAGCTGAAATGATTCTTGTCAATGAGATTTTCTAGGTGTTTGTCATTCAATAAAAGCGTCATCCACCTGCCTGATCTTAGATACCCACTCAAGTTGCTGCAGATGTTTTATGCACTTAGAAAAACAGCCACACCTGCAAAGTCTGAGGGCCTGTTCATCTGCTGCACATCTATATCACTAAAAAGAAATATTGCAAACTTGTACCATGAGAACTGATGTAGTAAGTAACTTCCCCCTCCCAGATGAATCAGCACCCTTGTCATGCTCACAAAGCTGGACTGTCAGTGGGCTTTCACACTGATATTGTTAGTATGCAGACCATCAGACAGAGCCTATAGACATGGAAATGAGGTGGTGAGTTGGAGGGTAAGAAAGAGAGAGATGGAGTAGGCTGTGTTCGCATGGACTGGCCTCCATCCAGCGAACACACACATGCACACGCACAATGTCGAATAAACATTGACCAAGGAATCATCCAGGGTTTGTGCACACATTTGGATATTACTCAGATGTACAGCTTTATTCACACAGCTTGTCGACTCCAACAGCACTGTCAGGTCAACTTAAGGCCACCACCGGCCTGTGCTCCGAAAACAGCCTGGAGGGTGTGACCACACACACCAGGAAGTGATACATTTTGGTCCAAATACTTGAGGGGTATTACGACTTTGTTATTCATAATACCAGGAAGTTATTTCCTACCTGAAAAGAGTCTAGCTGTTTATTCAGAGATTGATCCATTCCTTAAGAACTAAAACAAATCCAAGCCTCAGCAGCCAGTCAAACAAAGGATCCCAAGGTCAGATTTTGGGATTTTTATTATCAGTTGCTTCCACAGTGAACACTTTTTGATGTTCACAAAGATTTTAAAGACATTGTCCTTAGAACTTTTAGATCCAATCTTTTTATCTCTGACCTTGTAGTCTGACCTGTCCTTGCAAATTTGACTACAAGGAGGAAAAATATCACTGAGATGAGTTGATGAGTTTCTTCTTTGATACGTTGTCTGCAAATGAGATGCATTTTTGTGTTTTATTCGCTTTCATGCTTAAGCAATTCATAGGCTGTTGTTAAGTGGCTTAAACAAAAGACTATTAAAGATGATGTTAAAGATTTAACTGGAAAATTAAAAAAAAAAAAAAAACTGCTTATGTCCAAAGAACATCTTTGGTGTCTTAAAGACTTTCAGGCACATGAAAAAAGGTGCAATTTAAATAAACTAAAGTACAAAAAAACTAAATAAAAATCACAGACACTTGTAACACTTGAAATTAAATTTCTACTTGTTTCTTGAAGTGCAAATAAACATTACAGGTGCAGCTCACCTAAATGCCATTGGTAAATAGAAAAGCAGAATTTTGAATCTATTGAAAACTATTGATTCAAAATACAAGGAATCTTTTAATACTCATATAATGAGGCAAACGTAACATATCATGAGATAAGTTATATCACAGTCGCAGCGTCATGGTAGCTGTGCTCGTGTGCGATATACATAGAGTGAGAGCTGCAACATCCAATTGCAAACAAATTGTTTGCCAAATTACTTGTGGCAGCCCGATCTGCAATTCAGGCAAAAATGCTCAACTCTGCTGTGACATCATTCACAGATACAAGCGCTGACAAAATGAATGCAGCATAAATTGAGAAGTGCACCAAGATTAATAAAGTCTCACCAACACCACAAAAAATCCAATTTTAAATTACAAAAGAAACCGTTTCTCTGCTCTGAATCTGGAAAAATAAAAAAGAGGGAATTCAAGGCTGAAAAATAACACATAACATCCAACAGTCAAAAGCAAAAAAGCCAGTTTGCATTTCTAACTTGAATAAACTTTATTTTCTCCTTCACTTATTTATTTTTTGTGCTATATAGTTCCAGTTTTATCCTCAAGCTATGCCAATAACTCTATGCTCTTATCCATTGGCCTTTTCACCTCAAACTCAACAAAAATAGGAGTTGTAGCTTTAAGAAATGTTTAGTGTACCTTGTCCACTTGACCTTCAAGCAGCATTTTTCATAGTATTGTTTCAAATGTATTACTTTTATTGAAGTGATTGCAAAACAACAAATCATAGTTTTGCTTTAAGATTAATTTATCTGCCTTAAAATCACATGTCATGTTTGGTACATCTAACAAAACTGAGTAAAATTTGTAATTAGGAAAGATTGTATGGAGCTAAGTGAGGTTTAAAAGATGCTAAAAAATGAAGCACATTTTTATAATTTTGTGATACTTTGTGATTTATTTCAACTGTAAAGGATTACGCTTACTAAACATTTTTTCTGTAGGGAAAATGAATTTAAAAGAAAAGGCTATAAGGTCTGCTAAGGCATGCTTTACCAGTAATTATAGTGACAGTTTGCTGTAATAGAATAACTATTGCCAGACTATTTGAGGGATTTTAATTAGCTTACTTGTTTTCTTTGAAAGGTCAAAGTAAGTTTTTGATGATACATAATTTAAAATTATTTTTATTTTAAAGTTATTTTGTAAAGCTGTCTAATTGAGGTTGTTTTGGGTTTTGGATGGTTGATGATGAAACTTGTCCTACGAGCTGCAGAACGGATCAGTTCTGCTTCTTTAGATTCTTTGTCAGTAGCAAGCCTGCCTGAAAACACCGTCACTTTCAATTTAGAGTAATTGTACTTGGTGGACCTTCATCTCAGTTATGAAGGGCAAAACTGATGTGCAATATCCTGTCACAAAACAAATCCTCCAAAAGCTTCCATCTCATCTCAGTAACACGGGTTTAATTAAGCTCAGCTTCCATTTCAACGTAGCACGTAGTTTTTAAATAATCCAGAAAAAAACTTTCACCCTCTAAACTTGATGGGGATTGCAGATAAATTAAAAATGAAGAGTGAAAGAGATATTTCTTTCTTCTTTATCTGCTTGTTTTTTTCTCCCTGTTGGAGTTTAACCTTTGACAGAAGCACATACTCAAGCCTTCCACACTCTGGAGCCAAGTACTCAAATTCAAAGCAGAGTGTTAGTTTTGGCTTAAGCTTAGAGAAGGAAAAAAAAAGTGGGGGTACGACTGGGCAGAGAGACAGATGAATAGAAAGTTGGCTTGTTTTAACGATTGAGTTTAAGGGTTGTTTATGTGGGATTCAGAGAAATAAAATGGAAAAATGCCACTTTTGATGCCACATAGTTATTTTCACTTATCTTTACAGTTATATTCACACAGTTTTATAAGTCTATCATACTGGTTGTATTTTAATTGTAGGTAAAATTTGACAAAGATTGCCAGAAATGCTTCAGCTAAACTGATTATTACCATATTTCTTTTCTCTGTGAATTTGGCCTTTGCACCTGTTACAATTCAGACTGAGTTGATCAATGAGCAAAACATTCAAACAAAAATCCTTCTTTTAAAAAGAATTGCTGTTTTATTTTTGTCAATTCAAACTTGAATGTTGTATATTCACTACATTATTGTAAGCAAAGGTAAAGTTGAACCATCTTTAGTTTACTACAAATTAACTCACCAATCTCAGCGCTGCAGAAGAGCTGCTGTGGATGTGATGGGTGGCAACTACATCCCTCCACAATGTCCTCCATGCCTGCACCAAGCAAAAGGAGCACCACCAGCCCCAGACACGCACTTCTCTCCTGGGACAAGGCCATGGTGGCTCTGGCTACCTCTTACTGTTCCACCACTTGATGAATGCTCTGCAGCCTCTTCTTGTCCCGTTGAGTTCCCTGGGAAGCAGGTCAGGCCCACAGTCGGCAGAGGGGGTGCGCGGCGGATAAGACGGTGGGGTCGAAGAAATAAGAGGAGCTCTGGAGAGCTGGGACGCTGCTGTGGATAGAAATGTTTTCATAAGTTTAAAGTGCACCTCTGAATTCAAGCTTCAGCAAATAACTTGAGTTGAAAGCTACTGCTGCTCTCTTTTCTCTTCCTTCGCACTCCCCCTCTCTGTAGACAACACACAGAGAGGCTCACAATAGTCCAATCCCCTCACACTCTGGCCTTGAATGCTGAGAGGGTCGCACACAGGGAGCCTCTTATGCGCTCAACAATTTAGGGACAGCCTCCTGAAATGCAGGGGAAAAAGCTGGCATCCTGTAACTTCGTCTTTGCTCTCTTTTTGAAGCTTGTCATCTCCTCTGGACACTTTTACAGGGTCAAAATCATTCAAATCTCTTCTAGGTTTTTACTAAGGGTTAAATTATGAACAAAAATATCCCCAAAGGTATGGGATCCTTCATTTTTTTTATTTTCATTTCAAGGATTTTTGTTTTCTTCAAGAGATGAATTTCAGTAACTAGAACACAATTCTCATTGATATAGAATAGTTTTCATCCTTATGTTCAAATTCTTATGAAAAAAAAATTAGCATTGTCTTCAAACATGTTTTACGTATTCATAGCAAATATTCAGTATCACTTGTATGCCATCATATCCAAAAAAATTTTAAAGTGTGTTTCACGTGCAGAGCATAAATAATAAGGGAAAAACAATATTAAGAATGCCTTTATTTTCTCAGTGAAATAATTCTAATTAGCTTAGTGACATGAAAAATAAACCAGATATCACTAACAACTCAAGTAATTTACACCTATGAAGAAAGCAAAATAAATTAATACATAAATAATATAAATTAAAAAAAGGTGGAATTGCACAGATCACATAAATTGCACAGGTTTGATTTTAACAGCTTTTTTTTCAGCAGTGGAGTTTTGCGCAGTAAACAAAAAAGGTTATTGTGGATGAGTGCAGGATTACTTGTATTGTTGTCAACATTTGGTTGGCATTCCTGTTAATAGCCACATTAAAAACATATTTAATGAACAAAGCTTTGAGATGTTTAATACTTATTTTCTCGTTCCTTTCTTGTGCTTTCTGTTTGCTCCTTGGCTTCAGAAGAAAATGATTGTATCTAAAAGATAGACTGTAAAAACCTCTTAAAGATTAAAATTAAAAAAATTACAGACGATCTGTAAAACTATCTCTCACCTTGTTAAACTGGATTTTTCCACTGTTTGCTTGGGGCGGGGGGAAACAGTTGTCACTTTCTGCAATTCAGTTTTAACTTTTCCATTACAGATTACAACACCAAGTTTCCCAGTAGTGGTGAAGATCGGACATGCCCACTCTGGAATGGGGAAGGTACGGAAATGTTGAATCTTGTATTATTTGTTTTTGAATCAGACAAATATACAAGAAACAATATACAAGAGTTCTAGCATGTTTTAATAACTTAAGTCAAAGCGGAAAAGAAAGAGCAGACAGAAAGTTAAAGACACATTGTCATTGTCTGAAGTTAAAAATACACCAAAACCCATATATTTTCAGTATCTCTGAAACATACTTACATTTACTCTTTGTCTTTAATTTTATTCTTGTCTATCCTGCGACTAGGCAACTTTGCATTGATGTCCACTCAGTCATATATAATATTGACTCGTCACTATGTTTTTCTTCTGCTTTCTAACAAGAAAATCTCTTTATCGAATATTTTTTCTGATGAGCCATCTGACTCAGAAATTCTGTCACTGTTTAGATTAGCACCACTGCATAAAGTGGAAACAAACACTATATTTCTCTTTTTGTCTTCCCTTATTCTAAGGAGTGTGTGAAGTGAAAATTGTATTTCTTTTAAGAATTGTATTTATTTATGTAGTCATTTAACATTAGTATTGTTTAGTCTGTTAAACCATGTAGGTCAAGGAGTCTTTAAAGAAGAGTTAGATAGGTTTCCTTTAGACCTCTCCTTGGAAAAGTTTCAGTAGGTTGTCAGTAACTAAAATCAGGCGCCAGTGTTTCTTAACAGATAACAATAAACAGGTTAGGTAATTGTGAGATGGAATAAACCCTAAGGCTTAACAAATTCCTCCATTAAAATGTCACAAGCTAAAGCTATGTGCTAAGTGAACGTACAAAGTCTGATAATGTTCTTGTTATGCAAAATTGTTCCATTAGTAAACCTGATTTTTTGGAAATGCACCTATTTTTGAACAAAGATGTTTATCATCTGAACAATTAACTTACCCTAAGAATGGGTGTTGCATTTTCTATACCCTGTTAAGAGTGACTGTGCATTAACCTGTTCGACTGGCTCTGGGCCAGAGAGAGACCACATTGTATAGAGAGTCCTATATATTGTGAGAGCTTGCAGCTCCAAATCAGAACTCATTGTAGGTACAGCTGTTGTGTTGTGGTTACTGTGTGTTCTCCGTTTGCAAACGACTGAAATAAAGATTTTGCTCTTTGCCATTTGTCAGAGTCTCGAGCCTGATATGTTACTACAGATTAGATATTGTTTTTTCCACAAGTGCTTCGGCAGTAATGCCTAAACCAGGGTGCTTGAAATCTAAAAAGTAATTCTCTTGAACATTCACATTTAGATAAACAGACCAGCCTCTTTACCATAGTTTTTAAAGATTACTTCTACTTTTAATAAACCTATAAATTAATTTAATCATAAGATAACAAATAACTAAATAAAATAAATGTGAATTAACTTTTCTATGTCACGTGTCATTGATCTGCAGGTAAAGGTGGACAACGTTAGTGATTTCCAAGACATTGCAAGCGTGGTGGCCATCACTCAGACCTACTGCACTACAGAGCCATTTGTAGATGCCAAGTACGACATTAGGGTCCAAAAAATTGGAGCTGACTACAAAGCTTATATGTGAGTCTGTAGCTTTGTTCGGTGTCTGTACAATTCTGCCTGATCTCTGCAGGTCAGGCAAAGGTCAGGCAGTCACAGTGTTCTCCGAACTGTTCAGAACAGTTCGGAGAACACTGTGATCTCTTCTGAGGGAACAATTGAAATCCTTCAGTTCAGAGAATGGAGTTCAATTATGTTATTACATAAAAAACTAAAATGAATAAGCAATGTGCTTTTTGTAAAATTCCTGCAACACTTTGGATCTCGATATTAAATAATTGAAATTTCCAAATTGAAAGCTTATGTTGATGCTAATTTAACATCCAATTTTCTCTCCATTTTCAGGCGAACATCCATCTCCGGTAACTGGAAAAGCAACACCGGATCTGCCATGTTGGAACAAGTAGCCATGACTGACAAGTGAGCAGTGCTTCTGCATTAGTGATGCTCCAGCTGGCCTGGGTGTTGCACACGTCACTCCGGTTGCATTACATCACAGTTAGTCATACTGCACTAAAGCAGGGGATTCATTCAGCTTTAAACCAGGTCACTCCTGGAAAAAAAAAACACAGAAATGTTGGGAATTCACTTCAAATTTATGATGCACTGATACTCTTTTTTTTATTTTATTTTTTTTGCAGTAAATATATTCATTTAAGCAGTGATGCTATAAAACAAGAGCAGCTAAAACCAATATTTTAGTTGCTCTCCAGGATTTGAGGATTTTTATTCCCTTTAAAACATGTAATTGAGTTTTTTTTTCTTTTACATACTTAACCTCTATTGTTACCTGTCCATAAAAGATGCTATAACTCCTTATGAAATTTACAACATTCAACAATTATTATTATTATATTAATTAATTTTGACACTTTATATATCTGTGTTTACCAACCTTGCTCCTCAAAGTGCACTGCTCTGCAAGTTCTTCTTCTTCTTGCTCTGCAAGTTTTAAACGTTTTCCTGCTTTAACACACCTGATTCAGATGGTTGCTAATCAGCTGTTGACTGAAATCAGGTGTGGTGAAGCAGGGACACATTTAACATAATATGCAGGCTGCTGTGCCTTTACGGGTAGACTACAGTTGTTCAGTAAATCTGGCTGCTTTGCAAAACGTAAATTACCCCAATTAGTACAGTATCAATATCCTCTCGGTTAATATTGATTTTATTTGACTACAGTTTGGTTGTGTTCAATCTTCAAGACAGCAAAGTCAGTCTAAAGCAAAAGATCAGGTGCTCATGGTTTATTGTCAAGAGGATAATAAGGGCAACTGTTGCACTGGCAAATTGAGCTAAACTGATTAAGAAATCAATACTTCTATTGAGACAGTGCACAAGAGTATAAATCTTTTCTTAGTCAGCCAAAAGAACATAAAATTGTTTCTGTCTTCATTCACGTTTCTGCTTCTTGTGAAAAAACATTCATCAATATTTTCTGAAGGCACAGAATAAGGGTTTTAGGTGTATTAATTAACACATTTTTATTTTCTGGCAGGTATAAATTGTGGGTCGACACCTGCTCAGACATCTTTGGGGGTCTGGACATCTGTGCTGTTAAAGCCATCTGTGGTAAGGATGGCAATGACTACATTACCGAGGTGAGGATAAATCTTTCAAATAAGCTTTGAGGTGTAAAGGTGGAGACGTTGCTTCAACGTGACAAATTAAATTTGTATCTGCTGCTTCCTTTTATTGAGTAGAAAAATTTCATCACATTTTCATAAGAATAGTGCTACAAAGCACAGCTTCATGTGCTGACTGCAAGAGTTCCTCATCATTCAACATTACTCTGCCCGACTTGATCTAAACTCCAGTGGCCTTCCAATTTTTGCTTTAATTAAATCTAACCTCACACAACTTGAAGTATTTAATGCTAACTAGATATTTTGTGCATCCATTTACTTAAAAACTGGTCTTGTTGATCTTTCTCAACAAAATGTTCTGTCTGTTCTACTCATCCTGTCTTTTTTGTCCTGTGCATTTTAGCATATTGCTCTGATTTTGATTGCTGCAACCACACTTTTTTTTTTTATAAACCAATGTGCTCTCTTAATAATATTTTTTAATTAAAACAAACCATTTAGCGGTAACATCTCTATGTGGAAACCATCAAAACTGCCAAACCCTAGGCGTCAGCTCTAAATATAAAATAGCGACACATCAAAATGAAGTTGGGCATTAAATGTGTGCAAGTTCTTTTGCAGCATTTATTAAGGGTTTAACATAAACATTGACAGGACAATAGAGGATGTGAAGATATAACTGAAAAACAATCTGGAGCTTTTAGGGTCAGACAGAGAACTACTGGGACAAACGCGAGTTTGGAAAACAAAGAAGAGGCAGTGATG